GGGGGGGGGGAAGGATGTAAAGTGCTTTGGAACCTCTGCTTTATCTTCCACACCGAAAATGCAGGAAGCACTTTCCTCCAAAGCGCCGGTAAACTTGTCCCAGACTACAAGGCGAGGTTTCACAAGATAGCAAACCGTCTTCCAACAACGGGTGATATGTTTTTCGAAAGCGATGAATTGAAACCGGCGTTGGAATATTGGAATCTTTGATGGAGTAGGGTTAGCTGTGCTCCGTTCCGCGGTCACTGTCGGTCACTGTCCATGGGAGAACGTCGAATCTCAGTTGATACTTCCGCTTTTCGCGTGTGAATGTAACAGATGAATTCAGTTCCTTTTCCGCAGCTTGTGCGCATGTCTATCGTGCTGCGTGAAGCCCGCTCTGCCCGCGTTGGGGATACGAGTTCAGCTGCTGCCAGTCATACTCCTCGAAGTTAGTCGGTGAGGACGTACGAAGCGTCGCGTTTCCACAGGTAAATTGTCCCAGCGTTCGGGTCATGTTGAGGTTAGATGGAATATGTGCTTCTGGTTTGTCTCGTTCTGTGTGTCACAACTGTATTATACTACATTTAATATTATTATTATTATTATTAGTAGTAGTAGTAGTAGTAGTAGTAGTAGCAGTAGCAGTAGTAGTAGTACAGTGCGATCGCATTTTATGCGAGGTAGCTTTACAGAAGACCTCGCATAATTTAAGACAAGTTGTCTCATAGCAATAACACGTGATTCTTACCGAATATTTTGGGATTTGCATTGTTTCAAACTTTGCAATACTTTTCAGTATTTAAAATTCAAGTGCGACCACACTGTAGTAGTAGCTGAAACTCTAGTCCGTAAAAGCTTTATATGTGAGAGACGGAGTGAGGGCACAATCTGTGAAGCTGTTAGGCGGGTTAAATAATACTTAACATCCGAATGCTGTAACCGGCGTTATAAAATTATTGGAATGTGCTACGCCGCTCAGCTGTTTCTGAGGGTGAAAAATGACGAGTCATCTCGCAAGAAGTGTAGACTGTTCAAAATGTTTTAAAATATTCTTAAGTGATTTCTGTTCACCCACAAACAACGCACATTTGTTTTGTAGAGCTTAGTTTGAATATAGTTTCGTATTATTGTTGTGTAGCATTAAGTTGATTGCGTCATTTTCGTACTGTTTTGTTAAGAGGATTCTGAATATGAAAATAATTTTAAAAAGATCGGTTAAAGCAGTTGAAAGAAAGTAGACAAGTAAAAAAGCTAGAAGAAAGGTAAAGCTATCCCTGTGACAGGCCGCGGTGGCCCATAGGAATGAGACGTCGAGGTTCCTATATTTTCTAGACAGTCAGCTCGCAGATGACGGTGAGGTTGTCAGCCTTACGTGCCGGCCGCCTTTTACCGCCAGGAAGATTCGTAGTACTCATTTCTGTCAGAGGCCAAGTTGAACGCAGGCCCATAGTGCGGCTGGAAGGATTAGTTTCATTGAAAAATTCATTGACCTCATCGGGAATCTAGCCCCTGACCGTCCGGCTTGTAGCATATCGACTCAACCAACTACGCTATCGAATGTGTACTATTATTATATAGTGTGGAGCGCAGGTCTGTGAATGAGTTATCGACGTTTAATATATTTCCAGTAGGGTATAGGACAGGAAGTCTAGCGGTGTGATTTGTGTGTGCGTGCAATTTATTTGGAGCAGGATATTAGAATATTAGTCTCATCATTCTGAGACTGTGTTTTGCTACCAAAGCACAGTTTCGTCGTTGTTTCCGAAGCAGTGGAAGGAGGGAGAGAGGCTTTCCGAGTACAGCCTGGAACAACTTAATAACACATCTGCGATGTACATGGGTGTTCAGCGTATCCACGTGTCTTCACACGTCAGGCGTGCAGTACAATTCGTAAGGAAGGCCCTGAGGAACGTAAACTATTCCGACATGACCTAACATAACGTTCTGTCCCAATTGGGATGAACTAGAGAACTAATCCATGCAACGGAGATTTTCTTGAGAAGCCGCCAATCGCCCAGGTACTTCATTTCCCAACATATTATGGAACCCGAAGGTTTAGTTATCGTGTTCACGAGAGCCTTCCATTGGTCCGTATCCTAAGCCAGATTAATTCAGTCCGTACCACCCTATCCTATTTCTCTAAGACCCATTTCAATATTATCCTCTCACCTATGTGTAGGTGTTCCTAGTGGTCTCTTTCCTTCTGACTTCCCCACCGTATGAATTCCTCTTCTCCATGCGTGTCATATGCCCAGCCCATCTCGTTCTCCCTGGCTTGATCATTCAAATTATATTTGACGAAGAATTCAAGTTCTGAAGCTTCTCATTATGGAATTTTGTCGACCCTATCACTTCATCCCTCTTTGGACCAAATACTGTCCTCAACACCCTGTTCTCGGATCACCCTCAATCTATATTTCTCCCTTAATGTCAGAGACCAAGTTTCACACCCATACAGAACCACAGGCAAAATTATAGTTTTGTATATTCTAATTTTTATGTTTTTGGACAGCAGACGAGAAGACAAAAGGTTCTGGACTGAATGGTAGCAAGCTTTACCAGAGTTCAATCTCCTCTTAATTTCCACCTGAATCAGGTTTCGATTTGTTATCGTCGTTTCCAAATATCTGAACTGTGCAACACTTTCAAAACACTTGTTTTCTATCTTTATGTCATGATGTTGCCCTGCATTTTGGTGACGAGACTGATTTCTTCAACATATACTTAGTTTTCTCTGTGTTTACTTCTAGACCAACCTCCTTACTTGCGTCAATTAAAGTTTGTATTTTTCTTTATGGTATCTATGTTACCACCCAGTAGATTCACATCATCAGCATAGACCAGCAGCTGGTGTGCCTCATTCAATATCAGACCCAACTGGTTTTTCTGGAACTTCCTAATGTCCTAGTCTAGAACACAGTTTAAAAGCAGCGGCGATAAAACATCTCCTTGTATTAGATCATTCTGGATAGCAAAAGTTATTAGACATATATTTACCTATACGGACTTTACTATATGTTTTGTTTAAACACCCTTAATACGGTAGTACAGAACATTATTATTACGCTTCCTGCTAAAGTAGAATAATTATTGAATTATCATGAAGTACAGTGCGGTCGAATTTTATGCGAGAACGTGTTCCCGAAGACCTCGCAAGGTTCAGTATAAGTTTTCTCAGAAATTTGAAACACGTTCGTGATTCTCGCCGAAATTTTTGGGATTCGCATTATTTCAAACGTCGCTCATAATATGAGACTTTATGATTTTTTTACATAGCAGTATTTAAAATCCGCATAAAATTCGACCGCACTGTATATTGAGCAGTTGTTTACAGAAATCCCCGTCTGTTGCCACTGTTGACACAACTGCCACAGATAGAAGTAACTGAAATTCCATCGGATAGACGACGTTTTAATACGCGATTGAGAGAAAAAACGTAAAATTTAGAAAATTATGTCTGGGTGCTTTATTTTGGGAGCCTGGGTAGCGCAGTCTGTAAAGCGACTGACTGCTGTTTGGACGACCCAGGAATCGGATTTCGAATCCCGGAAGGGGTAAGAATTTTCTCCATGTTGTCCAGACCGGTTCTGGGGCCGGCCCAGTCTCCTATCCAGTGGGTACCGGGAGCTTTTGCCCCGGGGATAAAGCGGCTGGAGCGTGAAGCTGACCACTCGCCTCCAACTAGTGTCAAGAAAACGTGATTTATAAATCCATTCCCCCATACGCCTTCATGGCATAGTGCTTAAGTAAGCACAGAGACGATCTTACCTTTTTTACCTTAGGTGCTTTCTTTTTCTAGGACTAGGAAAAGAACGCCGTTAATTGATTTAAGTTGAGGGGGGGACATCTCGGTCCAGTTCGGTAGTATAATTTGGTAACCAGTGATTTAAACAAATTTCATGCTCCAGAGTCTGGATTGGTTATAGCGTGTTTAGCAAGGTTGTCCCCACAGAAATGCCCAACTCCAAATATACTCGTGTAATACAGTAACAGGTTTTTCGGCGGTATGCACTCTGGTTATCCACGGGAGCGTTACGGTCTGTAGGACACGGCGCTTTCTGGCTGATTTCTTTGTGATGTTCCTGCGCTGCTGCAGGGGAATGTCTGTAGAATGGCCACTTTCAGTTTCTGCATTGGTCATCTTCACGCCTCACTCAGTGCCGTACAGTCTCGGAATCAGAAATAGTATAATTCAGTCAATAGGTTCATGCCACATACTGAATTCTGAATGAGTGGCGAACAGTGATCTGTTTAAACAGATTAATTGTCGAGGAATTGTTTACGAATCCTTTAAAGCACAGTGTTATGTACCACGTGCTTTAACAGAGCCAGAGCTCACATTGGCTGCTGGCTGGACGGTCCGGATGCCATTCCAGGCAGGGACGAGAAGTTTTTCTCTTCTCCATAGCGTCCAGATTGGCTCAGGGGCCAACCCAGCTTCATATCCAGTGAGCACCGTTGGCCCTTTTCCCAGGGATAAAGCGACCGGGGTGTTAAACTGGCCACTCACCTTCTTATAATGCCGAGGTCAAGAATGGTGGAGCTATACCTCCACTCCCTGATACATGTTCGTGGCGTGGTGCTTAATTAATTAAGCACAGGGATAAATTTACCTTTACCACGCGCTTCAACATTATAGAAACTACAGAAAGTTATATTTCGCCCGCACATCGGTTTTGTATGAGTCTAAGAATAATAAATGATCATTTTCCTAGAAGTAGGTTCGCCCTTGTAATGGATACGCAGTGTGTTTCCTGTGAGGTAGGAACTGTTTTTCTAAATGTTTCTGCAACCTTTGCGAATTCAGCAAAAAGTCTCTGTTGCATAAAATTTCTTATTAAATTTCCCGACTTTCCCGGTATTCATTTCCAGCCATACGTGTTATCGAATGATACGTCGAAACCGACGTTTAACGCCGTCTCTCATGAATAAAATACTCAGTCAATCGTAGACTATCTCATTTATATACTGTATATAGTGGACTACACGAAACATTCCCACGTAAAATATTATTACGCACAGAATAAATAACTATATACTAAAACAGAAGGTTTATTGGTCGTTCGTGACCTACTACATGACTTGGGTCCGTGCAACCTGTTCCACAATTCGTGGATATGGTAACCGGAAATTGGGCAACATCTCACCGTTACATTACTTTTTATTTGCAGAGAAATATAGATGGAGTTAATGCTGAAAAGGGCGTTTTGGCAGCACCGGTTGAGGTTTATAGAGGAAACGGCCTTTAGGAACGGTGGCGCAAAATAAGATAGGTTCTTTTCATTTCGTGCATCTTGTTGTGTTATTATATACAATTCTTTATTAGAGTCCGTCGAAACACAACAATACAGTGGTCAAGACTAAAATTAGCTTAGCTACATGTTTTGGCTATTAAAGCCATCATCAGGCAAACACATGATTACCATATTCACACACTACTGAACTGCAGTTGCAATGGTGAGGCTGGATACGTGATAATTATTACATT